CAAAAACCAGTGGAAAAATTCCTAAAAAAGTGTCCTGGTTACTCTGGATAATTCACAGACCTCCCTCGCAATATGTTTCATTATAAATGCTTGTGTTACCTACAGTACTGGTACAATGAACTGTGTTGTAGGTAAGCTGTATAAACTATTGATTATGTTGTCATATTTAGTCTATATCATCTGTGAGCCTACAAATATAAAGTGAATTCAGGAGCATTACTCCATATTTACAAACAACTAACTGCTACATGACAACTGTTTGAGGTCGTTAAGAAAAAAATCACAAGCTAAACCCTTTTCAACCTTTTTTGGTTGTGGGCTGACAATCTATCTACAGTTACTACACCGATGTCCATTCTGCAATGAGGGTACAGTGGATATTTATCTTGGCAGAGGTTCCACTTCAGTGTTTTTTTTCATGCATGGGTAACATTTGAGGATGACCAGCTAGCCGAGGCAAAGATGTCCCTATAAACAGTCTTTAAAACGGGGCCTAGTGAGGTCACCAGGTCCCTGGTGGAAGATAGACATCAGCTAAATGGTGCTTGAAAAAGCAAGATGGAGTTCGGCCGTAGCAGTAGAAAATGTGCAACAGCATGCACTCTGCACTGACAATATTTTGTTTGGTAATGGGTTTATCCCTGAAGGGCTTAGTCCAGGACACACGCATCTGGTATGCTTTGATAACATCCTTGGTTTTAAAGGACCCTGTGGAGTATTCCTTTAGTGAAAAGGTTTACCTTCATACATGTTAACATGATTCTTGGACTTCAAGTAAAAACTGAATGTAGAGTGCAGTTCTTCTTCCAGAAAGCATTTTCAATCATTGATCTTTAAAGTATTTAAAATATTACATTGCACTTGTTCATGTTTTCTAGCTAATAGTTGAAAAGAGAAAAACTGGAATCAGAAAACCTCAAAATATTGACTTCATTGCAACAGGACAAAAGAAAACTGCTACCCAATTGTGGTAAAAAAAAATAAAAAAAGTTCAGAAGTCCACCATAGAACCTTAAATGGGTCATATGCTTTTTCTGGTTTTCTATGCTCTTTAGTGTGTTTTCCAAGTGTCCTGTGCATGTTTAGGCACATCTATGTTCAAAAAGTCCACGGAAACGCGGCTTCTCCTACGTCCTCCTGTTAGCTGCAGCATTAGCTGCATGTAATGCTCGGTTCTAGCCAAGCGGCAACCTCCGGTCTCGAAAAATTAAGCCAATGCGGAAGGGAAAAAAACTGCAGTTCGTCGAGTGTCCGCTTGAGGCCGGCTCCAGAAGCCCACAGCCAAAAAAAGCCAGTTTTTACAACAGAAATGTACATGTTTACAGCCTGGTACAAAAAAACTAAATATATCTGATAAGTTGATGGCCTCATGTGCTCCCACTGTGGGGGGCTGAATTTTTTAAAAACTCAACGGATTTTATTTTATTACGTAAAACGGCTATGCCCATATGTGGGTTGTGGCAGATTTGATTGACAGCTCTGTGCGCTGCATCTGTCTGTCAGGTCAGGAGGCTAGGTAGCAGTTTGATCCGTCTGATTTCCCGTCTTTTTTACTTCGTTTGGAGAGTTTGTTTAACACATATCTGACAACATACATGGCTTGCTGTGCGGTTCTTCCTCATCACACAGCTTGGTCAGGTTGAACCTTCTCACCTGTTTGAATCAGCTGTTAGAGTGGCCTTTTTTGTGTCTTTGGGCTGCTAATTGGAGTCCAAGTGTGCCAGAAGCTGGACAGATGTTGTTTCGAGGAAATGTGTTTCTGTATAACAAGATATAGCTGAAATTCATTTCATGGAAAAACTGATAGGGACTTTAATGACTGCCAAGAGTGAGTTTCAATGAGCACTTGGAATCTTTTTCAGCTTTTTCCCCCTAGTTGTAAGTAGTGAAATAGAAGCCGGAAAAATAAATGTTCACTCGAATGTGCTTCAAAATAACCGTCACTACTGACATTTCTCTCTCAAATTACATCTAACACCGAGTATGATAAATGAGAAAAGGGTACTATTTTCTGACATCTTGAATCATTTGACTCGTATTTTGATTTAGATTGGAGCCATACTGCCATCATCTTTTCTACCGAAAAGTAAAAAAGCTTCTATCAATATTACCCAGACATTTCATGAAATGTTTCTTCCTACTACTACTGCACACGACCCCCCCTACATGTCAGATATGAAGTGTAATGGAAAGATAAAATCTGGTGGGCAAGAAGCTCAGACAATGGGATACAGTAACAGCACTAGGACTCAGGAGTCATAGTAATAAGCTTGGAAGTTACACTTCCGAGAACATTCACACCTTCATATGACATGGCTATAAGAAGGGCACAGGCTTTAGACCGAAATTGGTATTTGGAAAGAACTAATGTTTCAGCCGTGCCCATGCCAGAATCAAAACAAACTATCAATAACGGTTTCATCTAGTTCCATGACTATCTGAAAATAATGTATAAATCTAATGTGACTGTGACAGGGTATTATTCAATTGGACATGTCTATGTAAGCGCATGTAAAGTAGAGACTGTTGATGCAACCTCCTGCAACAACAATTATCTCTGTCTAGACACTGCCATGACAGCAAGAAGACAAAGTACAGCAATGCTAAGGCAGCCATTATTGCTGCTACGATTGTGCAAGAAAAAACATTAATAAAGCAAAATTGATATTGCACCTTAGGCCTTTTGTGTTATTGTTATTAGCTGAATTCACAACTTGGTTAATTTGCTTTATGATTTATTTTCTAGGCTCTCATGTTGATGTAATTTTACCTCCATGCTAATGAACATGATTCTGCACTAGAAAGAGGAACAGGTTTCAAACCACCGAGGGGCTACTTAAGATAAGGCAGAACAAACATGAAGAAGAGCTTACCAGCCCTTGACAAGTTCTCTAAACATGTCTGGGAAAAACATTGTTACCAACTTCAATTTGATACTGACGGTCCTTAGAAACAGACCTATCAGAAAAGTTTAGCAGAAATATCTCTAAAAGCACCTTTAAAATACAACAACCATTATTCAGCACGCTCTAATGCTCTTTGCTTCAAATCTACCTCTTAAGGGTTTAATTTACAAGACAAAAATCCATCAAATTTACTTGTTCCCCATTTTGTGGCAAAATTATAAGTAAGTGCATATTATGCCTTAAATGCCAATGAAAGTCCTTGTCGATTGTGTGGCGGGCCACCACGGATTAATCAATGTATGGGAAACATTGCAGTTCTGCTCATTTTTTATGAACGATTGTAAAGCTAACATTTCTCAAAGAAAGAACTCTTCTGTCAGCATGAGCGGTAGCAACTTTGAACAAGAAGACGAAGAAAGTGAACTTAAAAAGTCACAACAAACAGAGTTTTAGTCAAAGGCCTGAAGGCTTTCTTTGTGTATTGCAGGGGATAATGTGAAAACATGAAATGAATGGGGTTTTCTTGTTGTTGCTACATTCCAACTTTCTGACCTGAAAACACACTGAAGTCAGAAGAATGACTTCCTAACTCGGAAACTGGGACCATCCGAGGAGCAGAGGAATGCAGCTAGTTGTTTTGTTCTGCCCTCTCAGACTGTACACTGTATAGGACATGGTGCGAAAAAGCCCAAGCCACCCAAGCAAAATAAAAATCTTTCCAGTTTTCGGCTCAACAGTTGGGTTGCCTCTTCCAGCACTGTGTTTATGATTTCACTCTTTTCCTTAATATCTTCTCAAACCCCTTTGGCAGCTGGTTTTGCAAAAATAAAATCAGGACAACCACAAGATCATATTGGCAAAGCACTTTGCATGAAAAAAAAAAGTGCTTTTAAGCGATTAAAAACAATGATGTAGTTGATTTTAGACTTTGTGATTTATTAATCTCATACATCAACAATGTGAGAAGCACTGCTGCACAGGTAGACATACTGTACTAGGCTATTTCCAGTTAGTTAGTTATAACTTCTACATTTCAATGGACTCCTTTCTCCACCTTATTTAGGCCTACTGTTAAGTAGTAGTGTTTGTTAGTCACACTGCTTTCAATGGTCTAAATATAAAGATAGGGCAGAAATTATGCTTAGGGTTGCAAGTTGATGTAATGAAAATTCCCATCGTCCATTTATCCAAGCATTCAATTGTGTAAGTCATTCATGCCCACTCATTCAGACACCATTTATCCTTTCAAATGCTTCTCCATTCAGTCACCCATCTCTTCACCAGGCCCATGTAGCGCTCTCTCGCTGTGCATTAGACCATAGAGAAGTCATAAGAATTAACTCCTAAGAACCGATCCATTGACCATGCAACCTTGAAACCTGCGCGCACACACAGACGCACAGCACACACACGTCTACGCATACTCTGCTGTCAATTGCCTTAAAAGTAGCGGTCATGCTTGAGAACACATGGATTTCATCCACCCCTCTGCTAAATGGAACCAACACGCTTGCCCACACACGTTTCATTAAAGTGCCCTGGTAGGCTTAGTTTGGCACAGTATGAGTCAGGCAAGTGAGAGGACCTGGCTGAGATGAAACACACACACAGACAGATCGGGCCAATTTAAAAAGGAGAGGGGATCAGGTATCAGGGAGGGAGTTAGTTAAGTAACTTTGTCAGATGAAAGTAGCTGGATAATATGCACACACTTACGCAACCCTGTGTTTGGCTGTGTGGTCCAAGATTCATTTCAATTCAGCACGTTTCATTCCCAGCAGACACTGTGAAGGGTCTAAATTTATTTTGCCGATATCGTCTATTCAGCCCGCCGCTCTGTTCATTCTAATCCCTATAAAGGGGGAATTTAAAACTAGCCACAGGTTTTGAGATTTGTCCATTGGACGGTGCTGGAATCACACCTGGGTCCAATTGTGCTTGAAAAGCTGTCAGATATGGGATGCGTTTGTGTGAATCAATCTGCAGTGTCATATGGACTTGGCTCCTGCCATTGGGGTTATTAAATTGGTTCCTTTGTGCCAGACGGGTAAATCCATCAATGAGAACAGCTGGAGAGAAGTGTTGGTGCCTCACCTGTAGGTTGTGTCTCTCCAGTCTCATCTCCAGGATGTTGTTCTGCTCCTCTAAACGTTGCCGCTCCGCCTCTAAATCCTCGATTTTCTGTCTGTAAAAAGCATGCAAGCAACTTACTTCCAGTACATATTCATTTTATCTAGCCTGTGTAGAATAACATCTATTCTCATTGTTGATTCATAAGGTTAATCCGGGAGGAAGAGCTCTGCTTTACAGTCGAGGCATGCTGAGTTAATCCAGCCCTGGTTTATGCGTGAGCCTTTCATGTCCCGGGTTTTCACCTGCATTATCAACAAGTTGTACAGTGTGTATTGTGTGTGTTTGTGCTAACTACCTGAGTACGCTGACCTCTTCCTTGGCCACTGAAGGGTTGCCGTCAGCAGCAGAGGCCTGCTGTTTCTTTACAGACTCCAGCTCCAGCTCCACCTGGGGGACACAGAGGAGAAAATGGGCCTTGTGCACAAACATCCGATCACCTTTGGCTGTGTGCCTGGCACAAACTTTTTGGCTGTAGATAAATCCCGGGCACTGTGCTTGAAAAGATAGCAGCCATACAAATAGATATATCCTCTTTACACCATTAGCCCACAGACTCATTTCCTTCTACTTCTTGTCCACATGTTTCAGTTGGTTTCTCCCTCTCCTCTCTCTGCAATCCTCCCTCATTTACATTTCCCCTCTTCCTGACAGCATCTGTCTGTCTCTCAACTCAACCTAGCTCCCAATCTTCCCAAGACGGAGAAGTAATTACAGCGGTACCAGACAGGTGGATTTCACGCGTCAATACTCATTGCCATGGCTATGTTGATGTCTCCCCAGCAACAAGGTGCGATGAAAAGAAGGGAGATCAGGACCAAGTGAAGACACAAAGACACAGTCCAGACGTACGCAAGAGAATATAGGTCACACCTGATAACTTTTCCAGTTTTACGGAATGTAACAGATGAACTGGGCCCAATTAATCTGGAAAATTTTAAAGATTACACTACTTAACGTCATTCACAAACCACAGAATCTTTTCAGTACACCTGGCAACCAGTCACTTTGAGAAACAGTTTGAAAAGGATGTTCCATTATTACTAGTTTTCTTCATGTAGCCTGTCAATTAGTGTCACCTCAGTCAGTATGTAAGAAGAGAAAAACAAGACAAGAAACCTTCTGTTCTTTACGAGAAAAATCAATCCAGCAACTAAATAGGACCGTCCCTTTCATAAAAGCTATATAGCTCCAGCGTGAAAAAGATGTTCCGTCAGCATGTTAGTCACTGAGGCATGAGAGCGTCTTTGAGTCACACGAGGCACTGTGCACCTGCAATGATAACAGCAGGGACTAAAAAGGTACAAGAGCAATAGGATGACGTCATATAGTCAAAAGAACATTTGATTATGTGATAAGGATTTCTACATCTTCGATTGATTATTTTGCATTAAACCTTTTTGTTTATATTTATTTTTGTTTAAAGTGGCGGTAGGTTGAAAATATTATTTTGGAGCCAAAACTGAAAAGCTCAAAAGCAAACACGTATTGTTCAATATCAAAAGACAAAAAATATATATTTTACTCTGGAAGATCTTAACAAAACAGAGTGCATCTTAATTACTCTTGCACTTATATTCAGGATTTTACGGTATGTGTGTGTGTGTGTGTGTGTGTGTGTGTGTGTGTGTGTGTGTATACGTACTGCTTGCAACTGCAGCTTCAGAGAGCGTGTCTCCTCCTGTGCTTTGGTCAACTGGACCTGAATCCAAGGACAGATGAAAATGGGTGAAGGTTACTGATACAGAATGCAAACAGTGACTTCCTGTTAACAACCTACTGATAAACAGCACTGACAGAAAAAGGAAATGTGATGTAAGCAGCAGCAGCAGCAAAAGGTTTAAGTAAGTGGTTCATAGGTAGTTTATATTGAAATTTGTTTTGAATACTATCACAATTGGGCTGTACTGAATCTAAAACAGAGAAAGAATTGTTCTACACACACCTCCATCTCTGCATTGTGGTTCTGTGTCTTCTGCAAAATGTCCTCCGCCTCTCTGAGACGTTTGCTTAGTTGAGGAGAGTACTCGGTCGGCGCCAACTCGCTGTCATAGGACTCTAGGATGGAACGCATTCCATCTCGCTCCTGCAAGAAGAAAAAAAAAATGACACTCAATCCTGGTGTAGACAATCAAATGACAAAGGAAAGAAGTTGTGACTTAACTGAATTGTATTGGATGTGTACGATTTGTGTGCATGAGTGAGCAAACTGAGAAAATCAAAGCTCTTGGTGTTTTTTTTGATCCTTCTGTGAAGCTTTTGTTTGGTGGCATGTTGTGTTAATATGACAAGAAAATGCCTTTGTCAATGAGGAACAAAGTATGAGGCAGCTGCGCCTTTTTTATCCAAGCTGTGACAAGAGAAGCTCAGGGTTATGGTCTGAATCATCCCAGTTTCTTCTCATGTAATAATCAAATCAGAGACAAATGTCTTTGTAGACAAAGAATCAAGAACAAACAAAAAAAATAAAATCAGAGTCATGATAGAGAAATGTCTTTGCAGTTCAAGTGTATAATTGTATTCTGCCTCATCTCTCTTATCTGTAATGTGATGAGATCATGAAATTCTATTGAACTGGCTCTCCTCTATAAAACTGGATAAAAGACATGTCTTTCACACTGCAGTCTGTCCAGATTATCATTGCGCAGTTGCTGCTTTTTGAGTCGAGGGGATAAAAACCTCCTCAAGTCTATGTCTTCTCAAGTGTCACTCAGACTGAACCACCGTCTCCAAACAGCTCATGAGTGTCTGTCAGCATGTGTCTGCAGAATGTCCATTAGCACACACAACAACATGCATGTCTTAGTGTGATTCAAAAACACCGAAAATAAAATACCACTTAAAGTCAGCCCTCTAAAAGGACAATTCAAAAGTCAAAGAAGATGAAAGTCAATTGCAGATGTCAGACAGAACACAAAAAGACAAGAAATAGCTGTATTACTGCCTTTAAATCATGAAAATGTCTTAGCCAGTGGTCCATTTTAGCCGTCAAACTCTGAATAACAAGTCCTTATTGACTGTCCATGTGTGAAAAATGGACTCTGACAATTTCATGCAAAGTCATACTCTGCTCAGCAATTTGCTGAAAGTTTTAAACAAAATAAAAAGTACTGTAGTCAGCTTAACAGCTACATATACGTTAAAATACGCCCAATAAAATGTTTTGATAAGTGTGATTCTAGCATTTTCAAAACCCCTTAATGGATGAGGACCAAGCTCAATACAAACTCCAATATTAACCAACTGATTTCAAGAACCCTGACATCATCTACTGCTGAGTGATTGGAGGTTAAGATTGGAAGGTTTAAGAACATCAGGAAGTTAGCCTTTGTGAGTGAAAAGTTTTCCGCAGAAAGCAGAGACGCTGCAGGCAAAGGCATCCCACACAATTATATTGCAAGTAAATTAAAATAGACTACGCAGATCTCTGAATGCATGTTGAACCTGCGGAGGACTCTTTCATAAGAGACAGCTCTCATCTGTGACTGGTAACAGAGACTCCAGACTGCAAAGGAATTTATAAAAGTCTCTGATCGACCTGAGGGATATTCGAAGGAACACAAGGCTTCATGATTTATTGTACTTGTCTTTTGCTGATAATACAATGTTCAGAGTGTAACCCTGCAAATGTTGCTTCCAATAAAATACATTGAAAAATTATAAATGTGTTGTTTAATAGTTTTTCTTTCCATAATTGTCCAGGTTTATTGTATCTAATATAATAATCTAAAGTTAAAAATCCTATGATTACATTAACATTAAGAAAAGGCATCAATAACAGATGGTTTTAAGTAGTGATAAGGCTTTTGTTATATAATAATAATGATAATGCATTGGACTTTTAAAGCGCTTTTCTAAGTACTCAAAGACGCTTCACATATAATAACAAATCTATGTACTTAATATTTTACGTTACCTGAACTAAATAGTCTTACTGTAGTAAAGATAACTTATCTCAGCTGGTGTTGCCTGCCACATCAACTTACAGTAAGTTTGACTGCGTGCTAAATTGTAATGTCAACTTGTTGAGGTAATTATGTACAATAAATTATTCTGTTCTGTGTACATCATGTCTGTTATCACGTAAAGCTCTTCAGGCAAGTATCAAGTTGTTTAAGCTGCACTCTGACTATTTAACATGCTATAAAATGGTTCACTATTATGTTATTACGACTGTTAACATAAAAAGTTTACAACATTAAGACATCTTAAAATGTTATTTCAAACATCAATTAAGCTTGTTACAGTCACAAATTATATTTACATTGAAGCAAAATATAACATACTAAATAGGTTTTTGTTGACCAGCAACATGAAGAGAGTTCAATCTAATCTGTTCAGAAACTGGCAAACAGCCCATTTATTAAATTTATTTATGTAAATTCACTGTCAGTCAAGTCAGTTGAAATGATGCATCTCACCCCCTCTCTTTGGCTCTCCATTATAAAGTAAAGCCGATACCATTTTGTGGCAACAGGCTTTAAATAACCAGCTCAAAAACAGCCAAACAGCTCAGGACCATCCTTTAACTCTGAGGGACATTGAAAGCTCAATAGACAATTATTAACAGGGCTCATTTAGAACGGTAAATGCACTTTAGGTTGAAGTCAGAAAATGAATAACGGCCTTAAATACCACTTCAGATAACTGCATGTGCTGTATGGTGATTGCTAAATAGTGCAGCCAGTTTAAACCTGCTCAAAAGCACCTTGAAATTCCTTCATGTAAAATGTCTTGAATAATGTGCTGCAATTTGTCAGATCAGCTTGTAGGCTAGTATCTAAAAACAAACCATGTTTACCATAATCAGATTCAGCCTGTGATGAGCCATTTCAAAAGCAACGTAATCCATTTAAACATGACTGAGTCTGGTTCATATAAAAGCACTAGATGTGAAATCATCCTGAATTCTACTTTATTTGCTTTGGCAGTGTCTTTTGTCATGCCATGTTGCACAATTGGCCAATACATTTTTTTGATAAGCTTGGATTGGAGAGACATGGAAGCCCAAGAAGACGACGGACTAAGCAGAATTAAATATAAAAAAAATGTGAAAAAAAACAAAAAACTCCAAAAAGGTCAGTGGATAAGTGTTTCCTTTTAATAGTAACCAGCAGGCCCTTTGGCTGTTTACTTTCTATAATGGTTCAATAAAATTCAGTCAATCTTAATCAAAAATCTGTCCCTACTTTTGGGATAAAATAAACTCTCATTTTAGAGCATAGACAAACAAAGAGGGAGCCGGAAGCAGGAGGACAAAGTGATAAAACTGTCATTACTGTTTTTTATCATCTATTTTTTAAATTGCTTTTATGTCAACAGTTTTATCTGCTGCGTGAAGATGCCACTGTGCTTCTGATGGGGCAGCCGGTCTGTCCTGCTTTATGTAAGTAAAGAAAAAAAATCTTAACAGTAGCATAAAGAAGAGGCCGAGGGGGAGATGGAATCGATATCTTCTCCAGTTCTTTAACAACTGCTGTCAAGCCTCTTCATCGTCATTGATTTATGAGCCTGTTTGTGGCTACAGCCAGTTCCACAGGTGGAGTGGGGGGGACGTCAAAATGGAACGTCAATTAATAAAATAGTTGACCAGGGCAAGATGAATGACAACTTTGATAAATTATTTAAAATTGATGTCCTTTCTTCACCAAAAGTGTTCCACACTACTCTAGGTAGTAGGTACACTTTCTTTTTTGCATTGTGCCCAGCTCCGCTGAAAACGTACCTTACCTGTCACGTAGCCCTCAGTGGCCACCACAACCCAAACAGCAGTGCCAACCACAGGTCACGTTAGACCTTCTCTCTGTTCGTCATTTTGATGGACCGTTTAATACATACCATTTTAGTTTTCCCTTTTTTAATGAAAATTAATCATGACCTTTTTAATAACCTGTGGGCACTCTTTTTCTCCATATTGCGTATACAACTTTGAATAGACTTTAACTGAACCTAATAGACAGGTTGTGGCCTGTGACTCAAACTTGTCTCCTTGTCGTCATGGACACACTGGGGAGATGGCAGCAGAGGCCATTTGAGTCAGACAGACAACTTCTCATGTCTTTTTTTGTTTTAACTGGTTCTTTTCTCACACTGGAATAATCAGAACTAGGCAAGACTCAATGCATGTTGGATTTCCCAACCCTCTAAGCACTTGCTTTAGCAAAAGGAATCATATGGCATTCAGCCCAGTCTGTCCAACCCGTAGAGGTCCCACACCCGCTTCAAGGCCTCCAGTCCGGAGATCTTCAACGCGGTGTCAGCATCAACTGCATTCAGCAGCCAAGGTGTCAAGGTTATTTACACATGCACAAGGAGGGGGAATCTTTTTTTTACATTTTGATGGATTAATTTATCACCAATGTACTGTAATGTGTGCGCAAAATGAAAAAAGTCTCATCCATTTTAATGAAGGACAGCCTTCAAATGTTTTGATGATAAATAAAAAGAGGAATGTTGAAAAGCCCAGTTATCCACTACGATGAACAGATAGTTTTGAAAACACAGTGTGTCTTGATGATAAACAACAATGAATCACACCCAGAAATCTGCTTGAATGTGATCTCTGCCAAAACAGACTTGGGCCAAGCCATATTTTCAGTGTGCCTGTGCCCTGCTCAGTTGTGATGGTGTGTGTGTGTGTGTGTGTGTGTGTGCGTGCATGTAAGAGAGAATGTGTGTGATTTGTGTACTAAGAGACTGAGAATGTTGACCTAGGGAATTACACACACATTACACACACTGAGAAATCAATATCACAGGGAGGTCTAGTCAGGAACTGCAGAGCAGGGGGAAGCCAAGTGGACAGCATGATGAATCATGTGATCTTTATCGGCCAATCAGAGGAAGAGAAGGGTAAAAGGAAGATTTAGAATTCCGTGCCTGCCTTAAGATTCAAGTCCTTACTGTACCCTGAGTGTCAGATTGTGGACTTGGGTGATGGTGAAAAGGTTGTATGTCAAGGTGTGGCTTCAAACGTGTCAGAATTTATGGGTTTGTTTTTGAGTGCCTTTGATGGTCGAGGTTACCTTGGTCAAAAGAAGCACTCTCTTCTGTAGTCGACGGACAAGAGAGTCCTGCGTCTCTCTCTTCTTCTGCTCCTCCAATGTCTTACCGCGCTGCTGGGTCAGCTCTGCCTGGAGCTCTGACTGCGAACGCTCCACACTTCTCACTCTGACAGACCGGGATGAATGAACAAAGCAGAAGTGAGTGTGTAGGTTAATAACTATTGAGAGGAGAGGGCAGGGAGTGGGATACAGGTTGCTTAGTGCTGTTCTGACTATTAGAGAAGGTAATTCTCAGTCAATTAAGATTACTACAGAGAACTCACCTGACTGACATGGAATAACCCCCAGACTACTGTCCAGATATTATTTATAGCAGTAAGCATGGTTGTGTTTTGCTTTTGTTTAGTTAGCCAGGTCTGATCAATTCAGCAATAATTACACACAGGCTTCTTTCACCAAACCCTGCCACAGCCCCCAGTCTCCCACTCTGCATTTTCTAATATTTCTTAATGAGCTCAATAAGCCAAGCACAAGAGAGATCCTTGTTAGCTAATGAAAGCTTTTTTTAGCTGGACTGAGCCAAAGCAGGAGTGTATCGGAGCATGCGCCCAGTCCTCCCTGTAGACATCACCTCTGCCTAAACAGGACAAGTTTAATTAGCGAACCCCCCTCCCCCCCCTCCAAATCACAATCTCTCTCTCACACACACACACACACACACACACACATACACATACACATACACATACTCTCACTCTCACTCACACACCAGCGGTTACTGTCAGGAGTGCTATCAGAATCAGGACCAGTTTAATTAACTCTGTGACAATTAAGGACTTCTCAGAGATACGCTCTAATAGATACATGAGGGGACTAAGGCATGCAGGCAGAATGGAAGAAAAAGGTCTAAAGGCAGAAAGAGGGATTTTGTGTGTGAAGAAGTGTGTGTGTGTGTGTTACCGGCTGGTGAGTGTGTAGTTCTGCTCTTTCAGAGCAATTTCTCTCTGCTGGATCTGAATCACCTCCCTGGACAGATCCTCTGGTTTCCTACAGGCAGAGACAAACACAGAACAGTTAGCATGCACACATGTGTACACACACGCACACTTACAGACACACACAAAAAAAATCAATACGACTGAGTGAGCAGAGAGGACAGAGAAAAGATGGAAACGACGGCGTTCCCATATTCTTTTGTTCGTCGGCCGATGGGGAGCTGGGAAATAAAAAGACATGAGCAGCAGAGGGAGAGATGAGAGGAGGATAGTGGGCTAAATACTGGTCACAGTTCTACAAAACAAACTCACTCAGTGGGAGAGATTGACAGATTACAAAACACATACACAAACAGGCAAGGGTAGAGCAACAATAGAGAAGGTCACATACTCAGACAGAGATGCACCACGTGACCTGCACACTGTAAATATAGAGAGTAACTATGGATCTGTGCATAAAAACAAAATTCCATTATCCCTTTAGCTCGTGTGAAATGGGCACACATTTAAGGAGTTCAGCACACTGTGTGAGTTAGCTGCAAGCTAGCAGGTAAAATGAAACGTGGTATATCTTGGTCATTAGGATAAATGACATTTTAAATTCAAAAAATGTGTGAGATCAATGTAACAAGCATAATAAGGTTTCAACAGTGTTAGCATGAACTGAGTAAGAGGACAAATGTAACACATGGAAGAAAAAGGCTGAGAGATCAGGCGAGCATCAAGAGTGGAAAGCCTGAGTTCCCCCACGTGAAATAGGAATGGCATGGATTTATCAACATGTCCACTTCCGCTAGGTGGAGCCTCGTGTATGGAAATAATCTCATGAATAGAATATGAGTTCACGAATAATGATGGAATAACGAAGAAGGTAATTCCACGTGGCCGTCAGCACTGAAGGATGAGCCTTCTCCTGAGCTTACATTAGAGGCTTTCTCAGCGTGTTCTGCCAGTGTTCTGGGGGGGTTTCATGGGTCATGAGCCTGCCAGCTCTGTTGACATTACCAATAACAGGTTGGTAGCAAATTATAGGGTGAGATGTTGTGAACGACAAGATAACGCACAAGTCTAGAGTCCACTGAGAGTCTAGTTTTAAGCAAGACTTTAGTGAGAAAAGGGAAGCTATTCAAACACTAAGATTGAGGTTTTCATTTTGGCTGTGGCCCGTGTGTTTTAATCTGGGCTAAGGGTGAGAATATTTTGATTACAATCTTTAACTACAGAAGTTTCAGGGTTAAGTAAATACAAATGTATGCAAAATTTGTATCCTTCAAATAATCAACCTCCGCTGTTGAAAAATAAAGCAGACGCAGAAGTGCAAAATCCTGTAGTTTGTCAAGTGTCCGCTTGAGGCTGGCTGCAAAAGCACCATCAGTCACATACACACCTATTCTTAAAAGCCGTTTTTTACAGCAGAATTTAACATGTTTACAGCCTGGTCAAATAGCTCCTGTCTCCATCAGCAAACACTGTTTGTGGGGGGGGGGGATTTCTTTATAACTCATCTGTTTGGATTTTATGAAGGATATGCATTATTTACAATAATTCCCATATCTGACGGGATTGATGGGCGGGGGTGGTCACTGTGTGTCAAGAGGCTTAAAACCCGCCTCATCTTAAACTCTCAGCCAGTCGTTAGGTTGACTGAAAGTTAGGTTGACTGAAAGTTAGGTTGAGACAGCATTTCAAGCATGGCGACAGCCATTGATGGGACTCCAAAGCCCCCTGGAGTTACAAATGGGTGACGTCTTACTTAGTCCATTAATATTTACGGTCTATGGACCAAACAGGATTTTCCTTGGATTTTGGAGCCACTATTAAGTGGACACTACTTAACTTTTTCAAGGTTGCAACTTGTCAATCACAAGGAAGCACCCTCCATAAGAATACCCTGCTTTATCATCTCTTAATGGTAATACACTTAACAACATCGACATCATGCTGTATTGAAGAAGACAGATCATAAAGTCATTAAGAAAATGTTTCCTACAGTAAGTTGAGAGTTGAGTAAGAAGTATGGCCATTTCATCACAGACTTCTTTACCATGGTCCATGTTTGAGTAAGAGGAGCCACAAAAACTTAATTATGTTTAGTGTTCTTCTTCATTGGCTTCGCTTTTCAGACATGGAAGCTTGATTCACCTCGATAAAGGAGTTTATGTTAAAATGAGAGTGTGATCTCGTGCCTAATTAAAGCTTTGTTGGATGATTTTCAGGAAACATTTGTGATAAGTAAAGACCCCTTAAAGCGATCTGTGTTTTGTTTTATTTGCTGGATTATTACATAAATGATAAATTATTTAGATTTAATTTGACTATTACTTTTCATGATATTTTGTTGCAAAATCTTTAACTAAAAGTACATTTTCAGCTTTAAATTGAAAAAAAACTTAAGTCTTTATAAAGTACCTTTCAGGAAAATTCCAATGCATTTTTGCAACTTTTTGTCAGAGACCAATGCCCACCAATGTAAATTTAATAATTAACAATGGAATAAAAGATGGATGATAAAAGAGAGAAGAAATAAAAAAAGATGGGATTAATAACATTTCAACTAATTTTCAGTTTATAGTACTTTCATTATCAAGGCAGCACACTGTAATAATACATCACAGTTCATGTAGAAAAGAACCTTAACCTTATTTTCTTTAGACACACATTCACCTATTGGTCTCAATTCTCTCTTCAGAAGGGAATAGAAACAATCTTGAAAAGCCAACCCATTTCCAAACAGTCTCCCTGTATGCTTCCATCATCTGTCTCCTCAATGTTCCTCCATCTAACAGCCTGATTTGAGGAAAATATTTTCAGACAGTTTCTGTCCATCTTACTTTAATTGTGAGCCACATGGGTAGGCACATGAGCAGGCACAATGTAATCAGACTGTGCAACAGAAGGAAAGAAAATAAACACTAGCAACCAGCCAACTGCTGGCAGAGATGAGCGGAGGCAGTGACGCTCGTCGTCTTTACCAGACAGCCACATTGATTGTTGCTCAGGAATCAGGAGAGGAGGGCTAACTTCTGTCCTAAGAAGTTATTTTTGTGTGACAGAACAAGACAGAAAAGCCGGTAAGAAACCAAATCCTTGGTTGCGAAAGACCCTTAACAACAGCACAGAAGTGTTTACTCCTCATTAACAACAACTGCTGCACAACATGTTCTTTTCACACCACTAATGACCATCCTCAACTGGCTATGACGGATAGAGGAACAATAAGTAAACTCAAGTGAAACAATGTAGAAGGATCAGGAGCTTGCAGTCACGAAAACGACCAACAGGCAGGCCAATTTAAACAAAGCAATAGAAAGAAGTATAGACAAGCATGTCAAAACGAAGCTTTGTTTGGATGTAAATATTCATCCAGACACCACCATGTTTTTCCTTCTTTAAGTGCAGTTTCATAAGACCAGATATCAGTTTCAACTTTTGAAACAGGTTATTGACATATGTAAGGATTCACTTTCTATTATCATAAAATAAAATAATGACACACCTGAAAACCTTCAGCACAATACAAATCATGAAATAATAACTGCCTAAAAGCTTTGAAGGCAATCACAATGTGCTGTTAAAGCATAAAGTCAATACTAATTTTCAAACAAGAAAAGGTGAATAGATCGCTAAATGAAACGCTCCTGCTCTCCATTCATCACAGGACCGTGTCAGGAAACAACATGCTGACAATTAAGTCGAGCCATTTAGCAAACAGTAAAAACAGCTTGAAGGAGTTCCGAACTGTTGATTTGCAAGCTGCATTAACCTTTACTTTTGATCAGTACGAGCCTCACACATATGGCTGCCCTTTAAAAGCTGTATGTGTGCGATGCAGTTTTCTTCTTTTTCAAGCAACGGCATTCAAGCAGCCAATCACATGGCAGTCTGAAGACCTGAATTTTGAGGAGGGTTTTACATTTTCAACTCAATTTAGCCAGGATGGCCTGAGTTTAATCTTAAGGAAAATGATAGACAGCCCAACCCAATAATGGTATGAATTAAACTGAGACTGGTATTACATTTGCAGTGATCCTCCCAGGACTTTTAATAACTGTAAATTTAACAAATGGTATCAGCAGCAATAACACATTACATAAGACCTGAAACCTTCCATGAGTCAAGAATTTTGACAGTGTGTCTACCTCTTTTTTGTTGCCCTGCAGGAGGATGTAACACACACACACACACACACAGAGAAAAACTGAATACGCTGTGTGGATGTGTCCTATTTAACATTCAGTTAACATCACAACCTTAGTTAATCATCGAGAAAATGGAGTGTGTGTGTGTGTGTGTGTGTGTGTGTGTTTGTATGTTTGTATGCATGCATTTTCTGGACAATGTTGCAGTGGTTTTATTGTCTATCAGATCTGCCCCACTTCACACAAGGAAACATGCAATCATTTTCTCTTTATCAGTTTTGACTGGGTGCATTCAGACGCACTCAGTGCACACACATGCAGGTATGAAGCAAGCAAACACACACACACACACACACACAAACACAAACTTGTACAAGTTGGTGAAATCAATCCACAGTGATGAGGCACATTTATTTGGTGTGACCACAGCCCCATCTAGTGGTACTTATTTATATTACATGACTAAAACGTTAGAAAAGAAACATCTTGTTTTGTTTGTCTCATAATCACACACAGTCACACTCTGGCACAGTGTCTGACCTGATGTTGAGTCCAGTAGATTGCCCCAGGTTTTCCCAGGCATGGAGTTTCTCTGCCAACCTCTAAGGGTTCAAGAAACAAGAGGTAATATATTAGGATATACAGGAAGAAATAAAACAACTGCAGTATATTAACGAATATATTTGGTCAAAAGTATATGTGCAATACATGTGCGTTATAAAACACCATATCTTATTATGGGCACTGACACAACATACTCGATAGCCAAAAAGTCAGAGGACACCAGGGGAGGCTTTAGCAGAATATTATCCTGAACCTACGGAAATGTATCAACGAAATGATGCACAACATCTGAAGGCTGTCTCATCAACTAAGTTCAGTGTTGTTTTTGTTTTCATTTTGTTATTTTTTTCACAAACCATATAGATACAGCTTATAGAAAGAGGGAAAAAAATGGGAACATGATTGTATTGTATGAGTTAAGATATGGTTTGTTTCAAAGTGTTTAAATATAAATGAGGCAGTGTAGGTCGAAGAACAAGCTGATAAAACTGATAACGATTATCAGCCAGCGGCAGTTAGTGATATGGTGCAAGCAAGAGGCAACACGGAGGGGGAGTGCTGGTCATGTATGTTGTAGAAAAGCTTAGATGCTAAACAGATCTGCTCGAGGGTGCCCTACGATGCCAAAATCAGCATTGAGTGACACTCTGGCACACTCTGGTGAGTAGCCATAGTCATGTTAAAGCTTTGAGGGTGGTCATCATCTTTTTCTGGTGGGGTTTCAAGTGACAGATCTATTAGTGTCCTTTTTTTTTTCTTTCATGTATACATTATTATTATTATCTAAGTTTGTTTAATTGTGATTTGAAATTAAAATGACGGGAAATTTGAGAACCTCGTGGAATTCTTAGAAACCGGTCCATCAAAATTACAGACAACCATACATTCTTATTAAAACACTTGAGGAACATCACCACCTATTATTAGGTTCAGGTTTTTTGAGGTACAAAAAAAATCATAGCCCAGAGGTTGTCTTAACTGAATACTTTTCCGGTTTTTAATGGATTTTTTTTGAACAATGACAAAAACTGCTGAAGTCTGTTCATCATTCTGACCAATTCAAATACTGATGTTGATCCAGTGTGGCATCATACTCATGCAAGCACGCAGACCCTTTTCCAGTTTGTGCACAGAGTACATTTTTTGATTAAAAAAAAAACAAAGATACCCCTCGGTGCATTATCCCTCTTCTCTACACTGTTGCTCTTGCTATTTGCTGCTGACAGCACAGTGAAGAGCTATGGATTGGAAGCCTTGGGGCGCATCTGTGACCACTACAGGAAGTTACAGCTGGTGCAGCGGGGCGGCATGATGTAGGATTTCCTCTTACTGATGCGAGTGCTTGCAGGGTCGGGAAATCCAACATTCAGAGTCTTAGCTAGTTTTGATCACCACAATGGGAGGAAAGTTTAATGACTAAAAAACGTTATCTGAACGTACAGCTGGTAAATTCAGTCACCAGTGTGGCTGCAGGACTGGGATTCTGCCTCCAGAACAAAATTAAAATGGCAATGAGAGGTTGAAGACTAAAAGGTTTGTTAGTATTCAGTTAGACTAATTCTGTCAAATTGCATTGAAAACTGACACTGACATGGAAGTGACCACAGGTCAGTGTATTTCTCTCCATGCTCTAATCAATGCATTATAATGTTATATTGTTTTTCATGTCACATTATTTGAGATTAAGTTGTTTTTAAAAAGAAATGCTACTTTGTAGGTCATGATTCATGAAAAAACGTACTCCACCAGTAATAAAACGGTATGACAGAAGTTTTTCCGACCCCGTCCATCAAAATGACAGAGAGCAAGGAAGTCTCCTGCAACCTCTGTTGCATCACTTGTTACATAGTTATCAAACTGACTGACACAGCAACATTCATACACAATCTAAGCTTCTGGAGGTTTCCCTGGCTGAGCAATTATCACAGGCTTCACATCACCAAGCTTCACATCAATATGCAAGCCCAGCTTTGCATGAGACGTGTACAGCAAGCAGCTATTGGCAGTCTTATGCTCAAACTTGTGTAACTGAGGCAGATGCCAGAAGAATGCTCATGGTTTTGGATGAGGTTTTATAACAAGCTCAAAAGGTGTGCGGTTCAATGTCCACTGACTTTTGGCCATAAAATGTAGGTGTTACTATTAACATTTGACAACAAATCTGGACAGCCAATATATTATTCAGGTCTTATCCAAACACACTTTAAATACTTTTCATATACATTTGGTAGTAGACTGTTTAAATGATGTTATACCAATATGCCACAGAAAAGGGAATACAATTTACCTCCTTCTCTAGCTCGATATTAACTAGTTCTTCTTTAGTTTTCTCCATCCTCTCCAGCTTCCTCCTCAGCCCCTCCACCTCCTCTTTCAACAGGCTGCAGTTCTCCCTGCTCTCCCTAGACAGAGAAGAGCCAACAGAGCAGAGACACACACAAAATTACTTCAAAGCATGAAAGTGCCTGATGTTAAAATACAGGAAACTTTAAATCACTGGCTACATCCAAACTTTAACAGGGTTTTTAAATCTGATTTCAGATTTAGAGAGATGACAGGAACTTCATCAATGCAATAAAAAAAAAAGTATTACTTGGAATGAGCAAGTTTATGTAAATTGTGCAACATATTCACCTGTGTATTGCATTGATCATCTGATTACACTAAAACCCAAGCTTACATAAAGTTTCTCTCTAAAACAGGGGTTAAAAGGGTAACCAGATGTTAACAGAGGAAGGATACTTTGATGTAACATCACAGGATATTACTCTACCAATCCTGCTTCATTACCATGCCAAGTGGCTAATTAAAAACCGTCTTAAAACCATCAAATGGCTCTAATGACCAACCAGTGAGTAACAGAGGAATTTTATCTTCAGAGGAATTGAAGTTTGGTTAGGAACTGTTTTCTTGATGGATTACTGTGAAAAGCCAATTAAGTTTCATACTTTAAAACAATGCAAAGTCACTGGTTTCCTTATTCTCCCTCCTAGTGTGGTATGATGACCCGCAGAGACGGTGAAATATCAGTTTGAAGCCCATGAGGGGTCACACTAAGCTGTACTCTTACAATATGATACCCTGACTATTCTCCTGAAAGGTGGAACTTTGGAAAGCAATATACAAAATTCAAAAGAATATCTGACCTGAGGAAGGCATTATCCTCTCTGAGGCGCTTCAACTCCTTCTCCAGGTCTGGCACCTTTGCCACTTCAGACTTCACAGTCTTCACAATGGCAATGTCTTGTTCCTGGAGGGTCAGACGCCTCTCTAACTCCTGCCAAACAGGACCAAAGAAATGAGACGGAGCAAAGGCAACAGTAGACATTGGCTTATTTTCTGTGCACTGCTAAAGCATCAAGTGCCATTTTCTTTCTTAGACATTCAGATCTACAGTATATTTTAAATTAAATTATTTTAACAGTTTGTAAACCAGAATCTTAATCATGACAAACGGCATGAATGCACATAACAAACATGAGACATGATGTTCAATTCAACCAACTTTTTTAAAATGTAAAACTGAGAAAGGAAACAAAAATGTAGTTTAAACAAGAGAGTTATATCAATACATACATATCAAAAAGAATGGCTTATATATCATTATAAACCGGTTTTAACCACATTGATCCATAAGCCTCACTTAAAGAAACTGTTTTTAACATGAAATCTACAACCTGCCCGCATGACATAGTTCCTACTCGTCTTGTTAAGGAGGCCTTTGACTCCATTGGGTCAAGTGTCCTCTCAATTGTAAACAGCTCCTTGGCATTCGGCAAAGTCCCATCCTGTCTTAAACATGCTGTTAAAGAAACCAAACCTGGACCCCTTACTGCTTTGTAATTACCGACCCATCTCAAAACTACCTTTCCTCTCTAAAATACTAGAAAAGCTTGTTCTGCACAAACTTTTGCCCTACCTTCACCAAAATAATACACTTGATCAATTTCAGTCAGGTTTCAGGGAAGCTCACAGTACTGAGTCCGCCTTACTAAAAGTCCATAATGATCTCCTCCTCACAGTCAATTCAGGAAACTGTGCTGCCCTGGTTTTATTGGACTTCGGTCAGCTGTTGCTGTTTTTAAATGTGCTTTATAAATAAATGTGATTGATTGATTTTCTTACTCATTTTCTTTGACACCTTATCCAGCAAATCACTGTGATTTTTTTTTTAACAAACTAACAACAGTAAGAGCTTCTAACTGTAGTGGCTCTGTGCTTGGACAATGCTGCTTGTATTACTCTGCTACTAATGTAACGGAAGATGAACGCAATAGGCAAAAAAATAACAAGTCAGTGGTGCATAAGTCTGTCTCATTAAACACAACATAGCAATAGTGACAAGCCAACTCCAGTGGAAGCAAAGCCGCCGCCGCCACCACAACCACTATGTTTACTTTTTTCTTAAGGATAAGGTCCCTTCTTTTTTAGGCTACAATGTGTTTGTGTTGAATATTAAATATATTTTTTCAGAAAACAGGGACTAGAGTGTACTTTTCCCAGGCAAGCGTTTGATCTCTTCCAGTGCTATGAACATTCAGTCTCATGGAAGCTGATCCAGCCACAAAACTGAGGCAGTTTGAGAGCATTTTGTCTATAAACCACATAAAAGGGAACAGCTAAGAAACTAAGATGCGTCCCTCCCAGCAACACGTCGCAGTGCTGCTTCAAGAGCACAGCTAATGCAGAAGCTAACAGGCATGTATGGCATATCATTTATGCAAGTCCTTTGTTATGCAATACCTGGTTGACCAGACGGTTCCATTTAGCTTAATTTTATAGAACTAAAACCAGGTAAAATTTAATTAAAAAACCTAGACATGCACGCAGCACAGTTGGACCACCCTGAATAAGTGTGGTCATTTTCACTATTGGTAAAATACCTTTATCTTGATGATGTGCTCTGAGCAAGAAGACTGAGCAGCTTGGAGACTCTGGCAGAGCTGTGATACTTCTTTGTACTTCCTGTTCATCACCATTATCATACAAAAAAGACAAAACCGTATGGTCAGCATTCGTCTCATGCAGTCAGATTACTATTTCATCCGTATGAAACAGAGTGCAGCATGCAGTAGACTCTGTATGTGTATGTGTGTGTGTGTGTGTGTTTGTGTTTTTACCTGTTTTGTAAATCTAACTGCTCCTGCAGTTCCTGGTTTTCCAGAGTTTGAGAAGAAATTGTCAAGTCTTGATTTTGGATCTTTTGCTTCAGCTCTCTGATTTCATCCTTGAAAGAACTAATCGTCTGGAAACAGATTACAGACGTAAGCCATACTGGACATGGTGCGTACAAATGCAGTCAGTGTTTAAACGCATCTGTGTGTACCTGATTAGCAGTGTTTAATCTACTTTCTCTCTCCTCCAGTTTCTTGTTCATCCCCTCCAGATTCTTGCGGAGAGATCGATTAGCATCCACCTGCTCCGATAGGTTCTTCACTGCTTCGGTCTCTCTCTCCTCCAACTTTTTGATTCTTCCCAAGAGGTCCTGGTTCCTGTCAACCTCATGCTGTAAAAATGGTCAATTTAAAATTTGGTCTCACATAATGTTTTCTGTTAAAATCATTAGTAAGTGTATGTATGGAATTATTCATAACAGAATAATAACATGACATCCTGCATCCAATCACAAGTATTTACACAGACCACGGTAAAACAGCACGACAGGACCTGTGACCTGTACCTCCAAGTCTCTTGCGCTATCAGATGCCGCCCTCTCCAGTTCAAATCGAGCTCGCTTATGACTGAGCTCCATCTGCTTCTTTTCCTGGTCCATCTGAAGGTAGCGATTCTGAGATTTAACCCTCTCTGCTGCTTCCAACAACTACAAGCACAGACAAGTCAGTCAGTCAGTGCTGAGGTCACATTTTAATATCAATTTTACACAGCTCACTAGTACCATGCTACCAGTTTCAGTTTACCTCCATGCTGCGTTTGAACTGGCTCTGCAGGTTGCCAGTCCCAGCTGGCTGCTCTGACAGCCTCTGTGGAGCTTCAGAGCAGCTGATGAAGGAATTGAAGGACTTCAAGGTTGTTAACACGGTGGTGTTATCTTCTAAATCCATGCTGAGAATCTCTGGTGTTGCGATGCACAAATTGACTTTCTGAAATAAGAGCAAGGTCAGCAAAGTTACAAACAAGGTATTTCTGGAGCTTGTATTCATTCATGTGAAGTAACGCAGCTATGCAAAGGGTCACTAACATAAACGTCAGCCTTCTAACACAACAAACACAACAAACACAACATTGTTATCCAAGCTAACGTAGCCATGTAAAATACAGCCATGTCATTTGTATTTGCAAATAGTTTGACGGTTTCTGAGAGGTTTCCTTTGTTTACTTCACTTAAACTTAGAAATTGTTGTTATCGCTGCCGTGTCGCCACACATCTTAAATCTTAAATCTTTAAATCTTAATCATGATGCTAAAGTGTAAACGATCGTTTATATTCAGACGATGCTAGACAGCTAACTGACCGAAGAAAACACAACAACTTGTGGCCCAATAACAAACTATCTTTCAAATAAACATCCTCACCTCGTTGTTGACTTGTTTTTTCAAGAGAAGAAGGTTAGTTGTAGATAAGTTCTTGTAACTCTGCTAGCGTGTTAGCTGCACATATTCCATACTCCAGAAATCCCTCCAGTTTATCTCGAATGAGATGCGTGTGGTATCGCGAGACTCCCCGGACTATCGCGAGAGTGTCATTTGCAGAGTGGAGTTAATTTAGCATAAGTTAGAGCTTTTGTCATTTAGGCTTTAGTTGACCATCTGTAATGCATTTTTAATTTGCCTTAAATTAGAGGGAAATATATTATAGATTATAATGCCCACAAACCGACAGACTCAGAAATAAATCCAGAAACTTTATGACAAACTTCATCCTCCCCATATATGTCATCCCATTCATGTAGATCCCATTAAAGTAAGTACACACACTGGTAAAGTTCTATTTGATTGTATTTTTCACTTTATGTTTAAAATGCAGTTTTTCATTTGTCCAACAGAGGGCAGCACTGTTATATATAGTATATGTTCAGCATGCATTTTAGAGAACGGTGAGGAACTGGACACAAATGCATAGAACCAGGTGTATTATTAGCCATATTTAAGACGTTTTTAAACAATATATTGGCTACTACTTGGGCCACAGTCTTATTGTCATAAAAAAGTACAAGAGTATAAAAAAAAAATCCATATTTAATTGAACTGCAACAACCTACCATGAATGAAAAACCTGTTGTAACGTGACATGACCTTGCACAGAACCTTGTCACCAATCATCTGAATTTGCATTTGATCTACATACCCCCATGAGGAAATCTGCATTTAAAGGCAAAATTGTAGAGTGCATGTCTAATTCTGTGACTAGTATTGGGTTCTGAGGCAATGCCAAGCTGGAATGCCAAATGGGACTGCTGTATAATTCAGATAGGAAACACAGAGTACTGTGAGGTACATATATAGGATAGTAAATCAACTGCACTTGCATAGTGCCTGTCTAGGCTTTAAGCCACTCAAAGTGCAGCAACCACACACATTAAAGCCGCCATATGGTAAACCTGCCCTCCAGAATTTTACCTTATTTTTTAACTCAGATGCCTATGTCTTCTGAAGCAACTTTGGTGTTCATATGGACTGTAGGAACTGGGGATCATACGTGCTCATCCTCTCATTGGTGGACAGGCTGCACTACCTCCTAGTCACAAGTTTCCAAGAAGTCATCAAAACTTGTCAATAAAGGAAGGGATTTTGTTCACACTATTTGATTGTTTTGCAGTTTATAGAAAGTCGGTATGCCACCTCATCAGCTTCCAACTGGTGTGACAAACTGAATGAGAGGCAATAGTTTTTATTAGGTGATGAGATATGAGAGATGAGCCTCTAATTCAGAGGGTTTTGCAGCAGCAGTCATTTAAATTAGTTAATTACCACATTAAGTTCCCTGTGGAGAACAGCTGCTGAAGAGGTCGGAGCGGTTGCTTTTCCTGTCCAATGTTTATGCAAGAAAAGAGCTGGAAAACATGGAATAAAAGCTAGAGGGCGAGACACAGAGCGGAGCTTTTTAAAGCTTGGGTGAGATCCAAGAGGGAGAGGGTGGAGGGGTGTGAATTTGTCTGAAAAGGTCAGAGAGAAGACATGTCCTCCTCAGAGAAACACAAGGGCTCCCATTTGCCCTGTCACTGTCTCTTTCTCTCTCATCCTTCCTCCCCCAAGAGGACTCTGTCTCTTTTGGTTTTTCTGCCTCCCCCGCTTCCTCCCATCTTTTTGCTTTTCCATCTCTCTCTCTCTCTCTCAAACCGTCTAATAACACTTTCATCCTCACTGTCATTCTATATCTCTCACAGTCTGACTAATTCATTCATTCCTTTCTCTCTCTCTCTCTCTCTCTCTCTCTCTCTCTCTCGGGTATTCTCTCACCCTCTTCTCCTTGCTTCACTTGCCCTCACCCTTCTGAGCATGACCTGAACGTGCAGTGATCTCTGTAAGATGACGTACACGGACACAAAAACAGGCATTTAGATGCACATACACATAAGCACACAGACATACATTATGAGAACTAAATCAGCAGAATTGCCTGCAGATGTGCCCCTCATCACCATCTGTTGTGAAAAATGTGAAAGCAGTTTCCCCACAATCTGCAACACATTAACACAAACATAAATATTCCAGTTTTATGCACATTGTAAAGGCTAAGGCAGATGACATCTATAAAACTCTATATTATCTTTGTGCAAGCTGTGGGCAGAATTTGAATTCTGAGCTATGCACTTGATTCTCCAGGTACCCAAGCTTCCAATAACTGTTCTGATACATGTAAGTGAGGTAAATGGTGACTCTTATTTGCCCATAGGTTAGTTTCAAGCATCAATGGCTCTCACAGCAGAAAGGTGTCAATTCAAGGTCACTCCATGTGTTGCCTCAATAACTACGGTAACTGTAAATAAGAAAATTAACAATATGGGAAAACATAACAAGAAAATAATAAGGAGCAAAGGTTAGTACAGAATAGTCCGTATAGAAAAAGGAAGGTAGGGAAGAAAAAAAGGAATCAAGAAATGGGAGAAAGAAACAACAATATTGTATAAAAAGAGCAAAGTGACAGAGAGAAAACAATGTTAGAGATCAGATGAGGCAAAGGTTAAAGAGAGAAATCAATAAAGTAGTGATTTTATGCTCTTCTAATGGAGGAGGACAGAGTCAATAGCTGATTCAGGCTTCCTGTGTTCCTCAAGGCCCAAGGGAAAACGTTAACAATATTAGTGTTGGGGTGATGTGTATGTATCATGCTTGCACACACACACACACATACACACACACACACACACACACACACACACACACACACACACACACAGGAAGAGGAAGATAGGTGAGGCATTGTTGCAAAGAAATAAACCACAAACAGGAAAGAAATAAAAAATAATCTTACTCTTGATTAATAAAATGAGCAAAGTCAGTGAAGCAAAGAGGAGAGGAGATTTGAGTGTCATGTGGATTTTCTGAATTCCACACCCTGGGGTTTTCCAACATTAAAAATATCATCAGCTCAAAACTCATTATAAAACTATAAATATTTGAACCTATACAAAATACAAAGTCATTTAATACAAAGAATGTTTTGAAATGTGTAAGATTGTTTGTTTGTTAGTGTTTGGTCTTCATGTTATTCCCATGAGCTGCTGTCACTCATCTGCATTTTCAGTGTGTGTGTGTGTATTGGTGTGTGAGTGTGTGTGTCTCGGCAGGTTTTATCTGTGGGACGGCTTGATTGACACATGAAAAAAAGCATCAAGGCATTGCTGCAGGTGAGAGAGATGAAAGGGAGGAGAATATCAAAAATCACACATTGTGAAGGAAAATGAGTCGGCATGATGGTAGGACCCCCCCCCCGCCGCAGTCTCTCTGAATTTAAGACACTCATTTAGTATGTAGTCTTGTGTGTTGTGCATGTGCTGTTCTGATGCAAGTCTGCTCATATTTGATTTAAAGGCTGATATGAATGCCAATATCCACAGAGTCGATAATAGATGGTGTCATCATCAGTAACCCTGGAGTAATCAAGTTCTATAAGGTTAGCTGCAGCTGTTTCTGCTTTTTTTTAAATTTTGCTCAGGGTTCATTAACATAATTGTTAAAGTAATACTTCACCCATTTGCATTAAGCTTCGTATCATTAGAAACCTGGTAGTATTTTTGAATGGTCGTGCATTCCACCCTCATTTTCCCCTGAGATGGGAAATCTTTATATTTCTAAGTCTGAAAAGGAGCTTCCGATGACGCAAAAATCGTCATTTTGCGTCATCGGAAGCTACAGACCTATCCCAGATCATCTCTACGAGCCACAATATAGCGGCTGCTGAGCGGCCAATTCCTTCTGAAAGAAATCTCGGAATCAGTTGAGGAAACAGCTGTATGTGTAGTCTGTAAATATAGGACCTTAGTGGGAGTGGCCTGCGGTGCTGTGCATTCTGGGATTTGGTGTCTTTCATCCACGAGCCAAAAAGACACTTTCTGCCTTTTCTCGGCTAAGAAGGCACCAACTTCAAAATGTATTTCACATTCCTACTACATATATGACCCAATGTCAATACAGATTCATGTTTCAACGGGTGAAGTATCCCTTTAATAACAGTAATTAAAAGACTAGAAAATGCATTTTTTTCCCTGCAGCCACTGCCTTTTTTAATGACTAATTGTATTTGTTTGTTTGTATTTATTGTCCATTGGACTTTTACTTCTTAGTGTCTTCTTGTGTTACATGTTGATTATTGGCTGAATGTATTTATCTTTTTAAGTGCAAACTGCAAGACAAATTGCCCAAGGGACAACAAAGACAACCATGAACCCTGAGTTTTTCATTCTCCACAAAATTGACTGTGCTTAAGCAAAGTTTAAAAAAAACATATTTTAAAAAATAACTCAAAAACTAAAGCAGCCTGCTTTAGTTTTAACCCTGCAGCTACATTGGCAGCGAATGAATGTGTTTGAATGGGATTAGTTAATACTGATGGACACTTTACATAGCAGCCTCTGACATCGGTGTGTGATTGGGTGTGAATGGGTAGGTGCAACCTGCGGTGTAAAAACACTTTGAGTAGTCAGAAGACTAGAAAAGCACTATACAATCTTTCAAGTCCATTTATCATTAACCAGCTGTTGTTTACTGGATTGTTTCATTGGACCAGATGATCATACTTTAAACGGCTGGGTGGAGGACTGTACATGTTTGTTGCAGTCAGAGTGAATTTGAACACATACATACAGTATACGGTATAAGATAAGCTACGCTTTTCATGTGTTGTAAAACATACAAGTGGGTAACATTTGTTATTTACATTTTTAATGATCAGTTTCGCAGAATTATTAGTAAATCTAATGTAATATAAATAGAATTTTCATTAAGTGTCGTAAATTTAACAGCTTATATGTCAGTCTAAATGCCCTGACACACCAAGGAGATTGTTGGCAGTGAGCGATTGTTGCCATAGTTTTTGCGGTGTGTCCAGCTCCATCGCTACCCATCGGCCACCATCTACCTTTTTTCGGCCGATTAGCCATGTTGAATCGGTCTTGGTCGGCTTCTCCGTGATTGGTGAGAGGAATCACTCTGATTGGCTGTTCAGCTCAGCGAATCAATGCACAACAAAAAAAACAGAAGTGATGAAAGATG